TAAGTCTCATGGAGTCCACGCCAGAAATGAGAAGTGAAGCGGGGATCGCGATCAGAGACAATGCTAGTGGGGAGACCATGATGAATGGCAATACGCTTAAAGTACAGAGTGGCGATGTCTTTGGCTGAACTAGCATACTTGCAGGGGAGGAAGTGAGCATGCTTAGTCAACCGGCAGACAACAACAAAGATGGCATCGTAACCTCGTGGGGTAGGGGGACGAAGTGGGCCAATGAAGTCCATAGAGACGCAGGTCCAACGCTGAGTAGGAATGGGTGAAGGCTGAAGAAGGCCGTAGGGAGGGTGGTTGGGAATGCTGGCCTCCTGGCGGGTCCTACAGGTGCGAACGTACTGTGTCGTGAAAGGACGGCGGTGCTCCCAATAGTAATGGCGGTAGAGTCGGTCAAGGGTCTTGAGGATACCGAGATGACCGGCAGCACGCTTATCGTGATACTCAGCGGCAGCTCGAACACGAAGCTGGCCGACAGATGGAACACATAAGCGGGGAGTACGGTTACCTTGGCGACCAAGCCAATATAGGAGTCCACAGGGGTCGAGCTGGAAGTTAGGGAYAGTCTTGCCGGCCTGTAAGTCAGCGTAGATGGACTGAAACTCGGAGCACTGGGGGTATGCCGACCGATACTCATCTAGGAAAGCGGGGTGGATGACGGGGAATGAAATGGCAGAGAGCTGGCGATCATCGCACTCAAGATCGTGGCGGCGAGATAAGGCATCAGCTACACGATTGCTTTCTCCAGCAATCTTCTTGATGGTAAAGTCGAACTTTGCGATATCACGCCACCAACGAGCCTGGCGAGGGGTAAGCTTCGGCTTCGTCTGGAAAGCGGCGAGGACAGAGTTGTCCGTCAGGACGGTGAATGTGTGACCGTGTAAGTGATGACGCCACTTCTTAACAACGTAAACCAGCGCGAGGACCTCACGCTCGTCAGCAGTGTAGTTACGCTCAGCAGGAAGTAGTTGTCGAGATAGATAAGCAACCGGGCACTCTCCATCCCTAGACTCGACTGAGCAGTCATCAGCGATGACAGGGTGTAGGAAGTGGAGCCCCTTAGGGGGTCGTCTCGATAGGTGCAAGTCGAGCCGCAGCCGCTGGGGGTGGGGGCGAAAAGCGAGGAATGCGAGGGAGACGAGACTCTGTGGGGTTGTGGAGAAGTAGAAGGGGCTGGGTAAGTGTGGGAGAGGACAGCTCCTTTGACAAAGTCGGACGCGTCGGTGGTGACGATGAATGGGCGGGAGTAGTCGGGTAGGTGTAGGACAGGGGCTGACGTGACAAGTCGCTTTAGAGAGCGAAAGGCATCCTCATGAGCCGGGGTCCAATGGAAGGGCAGACGTCTGCGGGTCAGAGGAGTCAGCTGTGAAGAGGACAGCGCGGAGGTGGGTCATATGCTCCTCTAAGGTACGACTGTAGATCAGGATGTCATCAATGTAGACTAGAACAAACTCCTCGAGAAGGTCCTGGAACATCGTGTTCATAGCCATCTGGAAGGTGGCAGGACCGTTACGGAGGCCGAAAGGCATGACAGTGAACTCATAGTGTCCAAATCGAAAGCGAAACGCGGTCTTGTGCTGGTCCTCCTTGGCCACGCGGATCTGGTGGTATCCGCTGCGAAGATCAATCTTCGTAAAAAAATGGTGGCCAGCAAGGCGGTCGAACAGGTCATCTGCACGGGGCATGGGATAAATGTTTCTGACCGTATACTGGTTGAGGCCGAGGTAATCGAGACAGAGGCGGAGGGCGCCGTCCTTCTTTCGATCGAAGAGGACTGGTGCGCTCCACGGTGACGTGCTCGGTTTAATGAAGCCCTGACGAAGCAGCTCGTCGATCTGGCGTTTAAGTTCCCGGGCTTCGGGGACCGAGAGGCGGTATGGGGCTCGATGCTGGACACGGTAGTTCGGTTCGAGCTGGATGCGGTGCTCGATGTCACGCATAGGAGGAATGCTACTATAGGAGACAGATGAAGGAAAGACATCGCGATACTCGCGAAGGAGAGTAGCGACGCTTGGCTGCAAGGTCGCTAGGAGGTCATCAAACTCCTTAGCAGCAGCGGCGTCTGAAGCAGAAGTGGAAGGAGTCGGCGTAGGGATAGGTGCGGATGGCGTCTACCTGTCAAAGGACGCGACAAAGTGCAATGAGAACGTGGAAATGGAGGGAGTCAACGAATCAGGAGGATCTGGAGGCTCGGGGGGTGGTGGATTGAGGTCGACCAACTCAACGTCCTCATGCATGGAGTTGCAGATAAGAAGGTCCGTGATGTCGACAATGTAAAGTTCGGCATCCGGCTGGCAAAGAATGTGGTTAAAGTGAGTAGGTGTCAGAATGGATAAATTAACAGGGGGAGGAGGTGTAGGGTCCGATTTGCCCAACAACGGAATACGATACTCCTGATCGTCCTTGGTGTAGAGGACGAGGTCGTTGTGGACCCAATCGGGGCCAGAATGAGCAAATTGATGTGAGTAGGCAGTGCCGAAAATAATGTCATACATGGTTTCCATGACGTCAAAAGTCCACTGGTCATGGAACCGCGGGGCCTTGCGTAGGCTATGGGGCATCCGCAAGGGAAAGGAAAATGGAAGATCAGGCACCACAGAATCGACAAAGGTTTTGGCCTGGTTGTCGCCAAGGGTGATAGTGACAGTGGAGGAGTAGGAAGATGTGTAGAGGGATGCCTCCTTGACTACGCGAGGATGGATGAAGTTGCCAGTAGAGCCAGAGTCCCATAATGCGCGATAGACTCTAGTAGAGGTCCCTAGGCGCACAGGAATAATCGGTAAAGTGCGATCGGGATTGTGTAAGCATCGGGAGATCGTGGCGAGGGTGTGCTCTTTAAGGCGGAGACGTTCCTGGCGGACCTTAACACACTCAAGGTCCAGGAAGTCGATGATATCCTCTGCTGCAATAAGGGAGGCACTTCAGCGGGCCGTGCGAAGGGCACGCCTAGTAGGAGGACGAGGAGGAGGAGAGGGGTCAKGAGAGACGCTAGGCGAAGGCGTGGGAGGTGGGTCGACAACACTAGGGTCGGCCGACAAGGAAGTCGAGTCCGAGTCCTCCGAGAGAGTAGTAAGTGGCGAGAAGGTGGACTCGCGGGCAGGAATGCCTGCTACTGTGGGAGGATCAGGGGAATGAGACATCGTCGCTAGGTGGCTGCTGTGCTGGAGGTCGAGGCGGGGGGGACAACCTGAGGGCGAGCCTGTTGTGCAAAATGGCTCTGAAGGGCGTCCGCATACAGGCAGGTAGAGGGGGTGTGACCGGCGAGACGGCAACGGGTGCAGATGCCTCGTGCTCAGAAAGTTAGAGTCGTTTAGCACTCGAGTGTAGAGTACACTTGTAGAATTGCAAGGCACGCTTGACGCTCTCAGGCCACTGGATCGCCATTCACAAACGCGCAGTGTATATTGAGAACGGCGATGTCGCCTTGTACGGTTGCGAGCATGTCGTTGGAGCAGATCTCTAAACCCCTTCAGGGGGTGTGTTTTGTTCATGCTGTTCCAGGACAGATG